ATTCTCATAAATCATTTGAATACTCACAAAAACACCTTTGAACATTTCCAAACAATACCGAAACACTTACAGCAGGATCACCACCAACTGAAAACATAACATGTACACACACACACACAAAAAAAAAAAACTAAGACATCCATCAACTATCATCAATGACCACTCATTTTTATAAACATTCGCACAAAAAATCACAATTACCAACTCCATACAATATCTAATACACTCCTCTCACAGCACTGATAGGGATACCTCCCATGACATCACACTCCATCCTGTGTTTACTTGACGACGTCACACCCCACTTTTACTTCATTTAACTTATTGAGAGGAAGCTACTTTTTTCAACCTGTTATATCTCCAATATCTAAGATCACCACAATCAAGACGTTTACCAAATTCTATAACCCCACCACTAAGATCACATATTTTTTTTTGTACACATTCTCTAAAACATCGTCATAACGAAGTTCACTAAAACTATCTATACTTTTACTAAGATCACATAATATTTTGTCTTCTCTAACTCACTCACCGATTTACATTCACACTTACACATTTCATTAACCGAAATTACATCTCATCCACCAAACTCCTCCCTCATTCTCCAGACTTTACAACATTAGCACACACAAAAAAACTAACTCATGCACATATGACATGAGACATTACCACAACTAACACACTGACTAACTTTGAATCAACTCTGAACATCACCAAAACACCACTGAACATCTTCAAAAAATACTCTGCACATCATTTGAACACCTTCAAAAATACCATCAAACACCTCCAAATACTCCCAAAACACTACTGATTACTACCAAATCACCACTGAATACTACCAAAACACAGTCAAAATCACCAGAAACTAAGTTGAGCATCACCAGCTAACATCCATTTTATAGAAATTCCCTCAAATCACTATAACAAAGAACTCCCTCCCCATGGGCGCAAAAAAAAAAAAGAAAAACTTGAACACAAACCTAATACACAAACACTTAGTACATGATCACCATCAACTGAAAACATATCTTGTACACACATAAATCTAAGACAACCACCAACAACAATCACCCATGTTCACTTACCTCAAAAATCACTAATATCACAGAAAACACTCATTTTTTATAAACTTTCACACCAAAAAATCATATATGACAATATCTAAGCGCACTCACCTCACTACCACCAACACACGATGTCACACTTGACAGGACCGGCGAGGTCACCTCCAGTGACGTCACACTCCCATTTGTGTTTACTTGGCGGTCGATAACATCACACCCAACCCACCTTGTTTCAACCTGTTGTACCCACAATATCTATGAGCACTATAACCAAGACGATTACCAGATTTTATGACCCCACCACTAATAT